ACAGTCCTTCCTCTAAGAAAATTAAGCACCAAAAATTAAAGAGGAAGAAGAGTGAAGCAGAAAGAGCCAGAGAATACTAACATATGCACATGCAAATGTAGCTCAGTTAAATACAGAAATTATAAAACAAATCTATTGGGAGGACTAATGTAAGGACAAAATTAGTTCTTCAGAAGCCTGTGTAAATTTGTTCCCACAGTCTGCGCTAAAATTTTTCAAAGAAGTCTGAATTGAAATATTACTTCCATTCAACTAAAAAAAAACCATTCTTACAAAAGTACTAGAGAAAATAATTGTATACTATGACTGCTACATGCTTAAATATTTTGTTCTTAATTGTTAGATTACTAATCGTTAGCCAATCTCTAGAATAGAAACTGAGTTTCACGTTTCAATAAATCTTTGATTTAAATAATATCTATGACCTTATTTTCCTGAGAAAATTTTATAACCACTGGAATATTTTTAATTTCTCCTCTGATTGCTAGAATACCATGGAAATGTTAAGGAACTTTTTTTTTAGTCTAAGTCTCATCCTGTCACGCAGGCTGAAGTGCAGTGGCATGCTTACAGCCGCCACATCCTCGAACTGCTGGGCTCAGGAGATCCTTCCACCTCAGCCTCCCAAGTAGCTGGAACCACAGGTGTGCCCCACTATGCCTGGCTAATTTTTTGAGTTATTGTAGAGACATCTTGCCATGCTGCCCAGGCTGGTATCGAACCCCTGAACTCTGGCAATCCTCTTGCATTTGTCTTCCAAAGTGCTGGAATTACAGGCATGAGTCACCGTTCCCAGTCTGATTAATTTTTTTGTTGTTGAGTTTGTGTCTCACTCCGCCACTCAGATTGGAGTGCAATAGCATGCTCACAGCCACCACAGCGTCAAACTGCTGGGCTCAGGTGATTCTTCCACCTCAGCCTTCCAAAGAACCGGAACTACAGGCGTGCGCTACCACACCTGGCTAATTTTTTGATTTATTGTAGAGATGAGGTCTTGCCAAGTTGCCCAGGACGTTCTCGAATCTGTGGGCTCAGGCAATCCACTCACCTCAGCCTCCCAAAGTGCTGGGATTACAGGCTTGAGCCACCACACTTGGCCCCAGGTTAATTTTTAAAAGTATAAATTTTCCCATTTTCAGTATAATAAATGATTAATTACATACCAACTTTTTAACATTCCAGACATTGTTGATAAGACACTTCAATTGTTTAAAGTATGGCTTCCATATTTTCCAAAGAAAAGCTAGGAGATGGACCTGAGACTAGGATGGAAGATTTGATTAAAACATTTCAAAAACTCCCAGAAAAATATTCCATCTCTATAACATACCTGCCATCAATATAAGGGGAAAAAATATTAGAACATAATCCTTGAGACAGTAGTAAGTAACTCTACAATTTTTAAAGTAATGGAAAAGAATAGTGTTTTCTTGAGCTACTACAGATTATTAGGAGTTTATTTCTGGTTCCACTTTCCAGACTCTCCTTCTTCCCTCCACTCCTTAGCTCAGCTCCTTGCCTCACATTTCCATAAATGCTCCATGAATTCAGAGATCTGGACTGTCACCTAACTCCCTCTAAGAGAATATATAGCAGGGATGCCCCCAAAATCCACAATTTACAAGATGTTATCTATGTATTACTTTTCAAAGTTGAATTGGATCATGGTTGCAATGTCTAATATGAGATTCACTCAAAAAAATGGTGTTAATCATGTGAATGCTATCATCACCATGTGACAAGCAGGACAATCAAATAAAATGCTGGAAGCATGGTTGTCATTTGAGGAGTTCAAAATCATTTTGAAGTGATATTTGACTCAACATCCCTTGACTTCTACCTATGGGTGTCCTTAAAGGTTGTGATGTGCTACAGAAAATCAGCTACACTAGTGGTATTTCAGTAAGAAATTGAAAGGGCATGCACAGCAAAACAAGTGGACGCTTTGGTCAGTGTTGATGAAGCAGTAGTTCCCCATAATCAGAAGTGTCTAGATGCTGATGGTAACCCTCTGAGAACCTCTTGTAATTGCAAAAGTCAAATGTGACTGGTATTCATCTTTTGTTGTCAGTATATATTGAGTATTACAATTTTACTACAGTTTTTTCCTTTCTTAAAAT